CTAATAGTTAAATAAGACAAGTAAAAAAATACTTTTAAAACTTGGACAATTTCTGATATAATTTTATAAATTGTCAAGTTATACAAGTGATTATAATATACTTCCTAAATTACAAGGTTAAGACATACTTATTAATTTGTGACAGTGTAATATCTGCTTATAATGCTTACAAGTCATTACAAGTGTTTGAATAGCTTGCTTTTGCTTACTATACAATTTTATATCAAATAATTAATTGAATATAATTATATTTAAATTATAGAATACAAAAATAGTAAATAATACACCATTTCTACAGTCCCAACCCCTACACCACCAGCTGCCTCTGCCTCATTCTTCTGCGAGTGGGATTTGTGTTGGACAAGGATGAACACATTCTCAGGCCGTTCAACATAGTCTTTGTCACCACGTTTTGGTCGTTGCTCAGTCCCTGCAAGTTGAATTGCAAGTGTGTGTGGAATGAGGTTGAGCAGGTTGTGGAGATTGAGGCTGCACCTGTGAGACAAGCTTAGAGTGATTAGCAAGTGACAATAAGAGCAAAAAGATGGATGCACTGCAACAGTGTGTAGCAAGTGTGGGTGGGTCACCTGGATTGGAAATCCAGAGCATTGAGCAAGCTAATTTGGGCTGCAGGGGAAACATGTCTGTGCAAGTGTGTTGCATGCTCTAGCTACAATGTGACACACAATCAGAGGTGCAGTGAACTCAGTAATAGTTGTGGATGACTTTGAAGGTGTATCTCTGGGATGTTCTGGCTCAAAGGGAGAGGATGAAGTAGGTGGTGTGGGCAGACTCGGCTCAGGAGAGGTGAGTGGTGGCTACTGCTTCTGTTATTCAAAATGGTGTCATGGACAGTACTAGGGTATATAAATGCACACAGTGTGGGCCCATTGAGGGTGATGTCAAGCATAGAATGGTAGGTGGGGAAGGAGAGTGCACAGGGGGTCAGAGAGAGGATTGTGCCTGAGGAGTGGTAATACATGGACATTGTTGCAAGTGTGTACTCACTGATTGTTGCTTACATTACTGAGCAGGAAGAAGTACACAAATGTATGGAATTATTGAAGAAGTTGTTCAACATTGGTCAACAATGCAGATGTGTGAATGTGAATGCAAAAAAGAAGGCAAGTGTAAGAAAAAGGAGGACAACAAAGGAGAGGCAACACAAGAGGCAGAGCAAGGAGCAGGAGGGATGAAAGGGAGACAAGAAGTTGGGAGGAGAGGGATGAGCAACTATTGTGCAAGTTATTATGAAGTGGATTGGCTACTTACACTTTAAGCTGAAGGACTGTGTAGCCAGCTTGGCTGTGTTGTCACAAGATCTGAGGCTCAGCACAGGCATTGTAGTGGCAGATTAGAGAGACAAATCCAGCAACCTTTATTACCTAGGCAGTTGCAGGCAGTGTGCCTGCTGGAGGATGCTTGTAGGCAGAGGACTGGCCTGGAGAGAACAAAAGAGACAACATAGCATTGGGGGAAGAGGGTTGGGGAGATGATGGAGGTAGGAGGAAAAGGAGTGACAAGAGCAAGTGTGTCATTATATGCTCTTGATCTTTGGTACTCGATTATGTAATCACTTTGATATATTGTTTAAAGGTAAAAACAAATTATATTATAAGTCTGAAAGAGTGATTGTTAACATTATTAATATATATAATTGTATATTATCTTACTAAAAGTATTGTAATTAACTTACAAGCACAACATATTACTTTTATGACTGTTATAATTAATCAACTATTGTTACAGATTACTTATAATATAATTTTAGCATATTATAATAGGAGTTGAGCACTTGTATCTCACATGTAATGTTGTAATAATACTATTAGTAAACTTACTTGCTCTAAAACATGTTTGTAGTTTAATAGAAACTTTGTATATTTCTTACATTTATATACAATCATTATAATTACATTATAAGTAAAATATAAGTGTTATTTTAGAATGTAATGCTTATAAAATCATTTTATTAGATTACCTTTGCTATTATTAAATACATTTGTTGCGACTTTTTCATGATGTATCCAGGTTTTATAGAGAAGAAGGGCAAGAACAGGCTGAGAAATCAGGCATGGTCAAACCTTGCAATTCTCTGTACAATTCACCTTGCAATTCTAGAGGGTGAATTGCAAGGTGAATTGCACGTGCAGGTTTGACCAGCACACTTGTACATGCACGATTCACCTCAATATACCGACCCTTGATCTTAAAATTACATAATATAAAATTAAAGAAATAGTTTTTTTTGTGCATATACATTTGGCCATGTCAAGAAGGACTTGATATGTGTGCAGTAATGTGTAAGAAGACAACAGAGCTTGGTAGCAGAGAACACAAGGATTTTTTGCAGAACAGAGGACAGTATGTATACTGTAGTGCTCACAAGGAAGAGGCAAATCATCTTACTGTTTTTGGAATTTAGAGGTGAAAAGAAGCTTAGTTTTATTTTTGTAATACATGTACATATTTGGAAATAGATATGAGTAGAGGTGAATTGTAGGGGTGAATTGCAAGGCAAATTGCATCAAAGTGTGATTCACCTTTCAGTGCAATTCACCCCAAATTGCTAGGGTTCTGGGGTCTGCAATTCACTTTGCATGAAAGTGAATTGTGCAGGTGAATCACACACTGAATTGCAAGGTTTGACCATGCCATTACATTGAGGTGCAAGAGACTCTGAGAGTTAAACTACTCTCTGTACCTATGCTTGTGTGT